TAACTTATTTAAAAAAAAATAATTTTATCTTACCAAATTTATTTTTTTTATCTTACAAATGAAGGTAGTATTTAACATAAGCAGAGTTTAATTATTGAATGAATGTCCTCAGGAGGAGAAGATGTTTGCTCCATCCCACACACCAAAGAAGACGGTAAAGGTCAAAACCTCCGGCGGGAAGGAGAAAAGCAGCGACTCGGTGGCCGACAAGCAGCGTCAGGAGGCCAGAAAGCGACTGATGGCGGCCAAGCGAGCGGTTTCCGAACGACAGAACTCCGCCACCGAGAGCGCCGAAAGCATCGAGATCTACGTCCCCGAGGCTCAGACGCGACTCTAACAAAGCCCAAAATAACAAACTCCTCACGAGCAGACGCTGTCTAGCGCTCGCGGACACGCGCACCGTACGCAGCGCACCGGGGTCGGAAACCACAAGCAAAAAATACGAAATAGAAAGAGCAAAAAACTGAATTGGAACGCTAGCGTGTCACCGCTGCAAGAGAAGAACCTCCCCTCGACATTAATTTCTATGGCAGTCTTATGCACACCCCTTCAAGTAAAGTGTAACCATTTTCTGTTAAACAGATTTTATATATATATACACTGCTGTTAGCAATCAGATCAAAATTTCCTGCAATCTCTGAAAATCAGTCTGTTCATCCCTGCTGAAAAAACAAAACAATAGAAACTATAATGTCCACTACAAACATTACAAACCATCCACATTTAACCATAAAACCATTACCTAATGGCTTCCAGCAGCAGGGTTGCCAGGTCTGTAGTTTTTTTTTCTGCAAAATTGGGATACTTGTAAACCGTTGCCACTTGTTGATTTTTTTTAATCTCTGGTTTAAAAATTTACATACTGCATAAATTGTAATTGGCTGAAATTTGTATTAAAATATTTTACATACTACCAATGATAAACCTGTGCTAAATTGTGTTTTGTGGGAAGGGCTTTTGAGCTCCTTTATGGAAACAGAGTTCAAGTTGAAATTGTGTGTAATATGTAGTTTAGATATGGGAGTGCCATGTGTTGAGTTTTGATAGTTGTTGTTAGGCTATTTTTGATTGACCTTTGGTCTGGTTTTGTTACACAGACCTGGCAACCCTGTACAGAAGTCCAGGACCAGTTTCCATTAAAACCAACACAGTTCCCATTATAACCATTACAAACTTTGAGGGTTTCTGTTGTTTTCTTCAGCAGTGTGGAAGTGGATGAAACCGAAAGCCTTGCACAATCAAGGTACAAACCGTGCCACTCTTATGTTCAAGTTTGGGTGGCAAAAACCCAATTAGTAATTAATTTCTCATTCAAAATTCAATTCTTGATATCGAGGGAAAAAAATAATAATTGAATAATAATGAATAATTAACATTATAAATAGCATTTTCTGCTCTGATTTTAAGGTAAATTCTGCATGTATTTAAAAATGACAATATTTGTTAAGCGGAGTTGAACAATTAAAATTCAATTAGTGTATTGATTTCAACATGCCATTTTATTACAGAGATATACATTTGATCAATTTCTGGCCCAATCACAGCTCAGAATGCTCAGATTCATCAAACATTTCACACAATTGACTTGAGCAATAAAGTAGCATCTTATATTACCGTTTGTTAGATGAAAAGTGGTTTTCTCAATCGTCCGGTCCAGGTATGTGAACGTTCACAGTTTGTTCATGTTCATCTTTGACGTGTTTTTCCGTTCTCATGTTACCTGACCTGCTTTTCCAACAGGCACTGGTACTCAGCACAAATCTCTGAACTCTGCATGTCATAGCAATATCAGAGTCTTAAAGCCTTTGTGTTCCTGTGGAAGGATTGATTATTTGAATATCAATGAACTCAAACCCATCAGATCTTAATAGGGCTACACTGGACTCAACACACTTATGGACTTTCAACGGACATCTCGCCTGCGTTTGTATACTTTAATTTATTTTCTTTCCATTGGTTTTTTACAGGTGATGCTTCAGATTTTATTGAAGGACATTGTTGAACTTATATATGTGCACCATTGTGTCAGATGCTAATGGACACGAATCAAATGTATTTCTTATGCTAACTTTGGAGAGAAATAGCTCAGAGCTCAATGGCGAGGGCCGATATGGAAACTTTCATACATGTCATTATGTGTTTGTCCAAGGCATCAGGTTGTTTCTTGCACTTTTGTTTGTGAGTTCATAGTGAATTACCAGTGTTAAATCAACCGCTTTAGTTGATTTAAACGGCACTTTCATAGTTGTGATCGTTTGAAAATACTAAAATGCTGAATTTAATATAGATAAAAATATAGGCCTACATTTAATGAACTTTTAAAAAAATATTTAACTTAGCAGTGTAGCTCAAATTACTTTGCTTTACCCCAATTCAAAATGTGACACACAGGAAGTGACGTCATTTGGACAAGGTGGCGGGAAGAGAAGTAAATAATTTTGTTCAATTATAGTATTTTTACACAAATTATAATGTTGACAGCATTTGTCAAGATCAAGCTGTTTGAAGCAACTGTATGTTTTTTTTTTTTTGTACCTTGAAATATCAGTTCCAAAATCATTCTAATGGTTCGCGGTACTTTCGTGGATCGATTTGCGGCAGCAACAAATGTTAGCAAAACAAGCATACTTCGCTGCGGTACGCAGGGAAGGAGACCAGATGCCGTTTTTGAATGGATGTCAATGGAGGAGATGCTTCGCTACTCTGAATAAACTGATTTTGTGGGGAAACAGCGAATTGTCAGGCTGTCCGCTAATCTTCAACATGTTTGGGATTAAACGTTCATTTTGGATTGATCTGTTTTTAGAGTTTACAACGGAAAAGTGCTGTTTTTATAAGAGAACTCCCAGACAAATTTGCGACAGGTAGGATTCAGTTTATGGTAATTCTCATTGGTTTTTATGGCACGAGCAGACGCTGTCTAGCGCTCGCGGACACGCGCACCGTACGCAGCGCACCGGGGTCGGAAACCACAAGCAAAAAATACGAAATAGAAAGAGCAAAAAACTGAATTGGAACGCTAGCGTGTCACCGCTGCAAGAGAAGAACCTCCCCTCGACATTAATTTCTATGGAAACCCTTATAAATGTTATAAAAGTGAATTATCTCATGGAAATATATCAAGACTTTGTCTGTAAATTGTGCTAATATCTCTGATGAAAAGACCTTCGTTGAGATCTCAGACCCTTTACACGCTTCACACGTCACATGACCCACGGACGCCCCTCCCACAGCATGCACTCAGGATCCCGCACGTGTGCACTTGTCTTTCATCAGCGCAGTCTTCCTGCTCTCACAGACACCTTTTGAGTTCCTTTTCCCACCAGTTTTTGGTGCACGGCTGCGTGACTTTACGGCTCGAATGGAAATCTGCAGAAATGTTTGGACGGTACAGCGGATACTGAAGTGGTAGAATAGCACAGCGGATTTTAGCACTCCACTAGTTCTGTTTGTTTCACTCCAGTAAAACTGAACACAGAAACACATCCAGCTTGGTTTATTTTCACGTAAAAGCGCACGGAGCACGACCCATCTGTCAGTTTCTGGTTATTTAATAGGGTTAACACATGACCACTCCACTTTGTTTTTATGATTAATGTTTTAAAAACTCAATGACAAGGTCCAGATTTTTACTTGGGCCAACAGTCTGTTTTGTAATATTATTATTATTATTCATATTATTATGATTTTAATGCTTGTGTTTTTGTTGTCCAGTCATTCCAAAATAATTGAATAATAATGAATAATTAACATTATAAATAGCATTTTCTGCTCTGATTTTAAGGTAAATTCTGCATGTATTTAAAAATGACAATATTTGTTAAGCGGAGTTGAACAATTAAAATTCAATTAGTGTATTGATTTCAACATGCCATTTTATTACAGAGATATACATTTGATCAATTTCTGGCCCAATCACAGCTCAGAATGCTCAGATTCATCAAACATTTCACACAATTGACTTGAGCAATAAAGTAGCATCTTATATTACCGTTTGTTAGATGAAAAGTGGTTTTCTCAATCGTCCGGTCCAGGTATGTGAACGTTCACAGTTTGTTCATGTTCATCTTTGACGTGTTTTTCCGTTCTCATGTTACCTGACCTGCTTTTCCAACAGGCACTGGTACTCAGCACAAATCTCTGAACTCTGCATGTCATAGCAATATCAGAGTCTTAAAGCCTTTGTGTTCCTGTGGAAGGATTGATTATTTGAATATCAATGAACTCAAACCCATCAGATCTTAATAGGGCTACACTGGACTCAACACACTTATGGACTTTCAACGGACATCTCGCCTGCGTTTGTATACTTTAATTTATTTTCTTTCCATTGGTTTTTTACAGGTGATGCTTCAGATTTTATTGAAGGACATTGTTGAACTTATATATGTGCACCATTGTGTCAGATGCTAATGGACACGAATCAAATGTATTTCTTATGCTAACTTTGGAGAGAAATAGCTCAGAGCTCAATGGCGAGGGCCGATATGGAAACTTTCATACATGTCATTATGTGTTTGTCCAAGGCATCAGGTTGTTTCTTGCACTTTTGTTTGTGAGTTCATAGTGAATTACCAGTGTTAAATCAACCGCTTTAGTTGATTTAAACGGCACTTTCATAGTTGTGATCGTTTGAAAATACTAAAATGCTGAATTTAATATAGATAAAAATATAGGCCTACATTTAATGAACTTTTAAAAAAATATTTAACTTAGCAGTGTAGCTCAAATTACTTTGCTTTACCCCAATTCAAAATGTGACACACAGGAAGTGACGTCATTTGGACAAGGTGGCGGGAAGAGAAGTAAATAATTTTGTTCAATTATAGTATTTTTACACAAATTATAATGTTGACAGCATTTGTCAAGATCAAGCTGTTTGAAGCAACTGTATGTTTTTTTTTTTTTGTACCTTGAAATATCAGTTCCAAAATCATTCTAATGGTTCGCGGTACTTTCGTGGCATATTATTATGATTTTAATGCTTGTGTTTTTGTTGTCCAGTCATTCCATGTGTTTCCAGCACACGTACGACTCGCGTGTCTCTGTGTGACCAATCAGAGCCCGTCATTTGTGATCAAAGATGTTTTTTTTTTTTATAATTATTTTCTTTGTTAGATATTAAAAACTTCCTTTACCCAGAACTTGCTGATTTGGAAAAGTTGTTTCAGATTTTCACACGTCAGGCCCAGAAGTGTCAGTACTCAAATGCTTTGCTGCTAGTTATCTGTGCATATTAAACTAGCTTAGAAAGATTTGAACACGCTTCACCATCACTGCCGGTCTCTTCGTGTGCCAATTACATTGAAGCCAAAGGAGGAAGTAATATTATTATTATTATTATTCATATTATTATGATTTTAATGCTTGTGTTTTTGTTGTCCAGTCATTCTATGTGTTTCCAGCACACGTACGACTCGCGTGTCTCTGTGTGACCAATCAGAGCCCGTCCATGTGAACGTTCACAGTTTGTTCATGTTCATCTTTGACGTGTTTTTCCGTTCTCATGTTACCTGACCTGCTTTTCCAACAGGCACTGGTACTCGGCACAAATCTCTGAACTCTGCATGTCATAGCAATATCAGAGTCTTAAAGCCTTTGTGTTCCTGTGGAAGGATTGATTATTTTTCCAGCACACGTACGACTCGCGTGTCTCTGTGTGACCAATCAGAGCCCGTCATTTGTGATCGAAGATGTTTTTTTTTTTTATAATTATTTTCTTTGTTAGATATTAAAAACTTCCTTTACCCAGAACTTGCTGATTTGGAAAAGTTGTTTCAGATTTTCACACGTCAGGCCCAGAAGTGTCAGTACTCAAATGCTTTGCTGCTAGTTATCTGTGCATATTAAACTAGCTTAGAAAGATTTGAACACGCTTCACCATCACTGCCGGTCTCTTCGTGTGCCAATTACATTGAAGCCAAAGGAGGAAAATGAAGTTTAAATGATGAATGAAATGGAGATTTGATGCCACTTTCATTAACAGTTCATTCATTTTTCAGAGTTTGTATTTCATTGTAAGCATTAAAGGAATATAGTTCATCCAAAAAGGAAAATTTGCTAGAAATGTCTTCGCCCTTAGGCCATCCAAGATGTAGATGAGTTTGTTTCTTCATCAGATTTGGAGAAATGTAGCATTGCATCACTTGCTCACCAATGGATGTGAATGGGCGCTGTCAGAATGAGTGTCCAAACAGCTGATAAAAACATCACAATAATCCACACATCACTCCAGTCCATCAGTTAATGTCTTGAGAAGCCAAAAGCTGTGTGTTTGTAAGAAACAAATCCATTATTAAGACGTTTTCACTTGATATTTTTGCTTCTGGCTAAAATACGAGTCCTCTATCCATTATATTGCTTTCTAAAAATCTGTGCTGATGAAACACTCATTTTCATCTTGGTTGGCCTGAGGGGCGAGTACATTTTCTTCAAATGGTCATTTTTGAGTGAACGACTCCTTCAAGTGCATCAGATCTGAAGGAATCTCCCTCTGTATCAGACCTCGAGGTTTCCTGCTGGCTCACATCAGTGTTTCAGAAGCTGGATTTTCACGTTTTGTGTGGTTTGTGTGTAACCAGAAAATGGTTACACTTTACTTGAAGGGGTGTGCATAAGACTGATGCATGTCATAGCAATATCAGAGTCTTAAAGCCTTTGTGTTCCTGTGGAAGGATTGATTATTTGAATATCAATGAACTCAAACCCATCAGATCTTAATAGGGCTACACTGGACTCAACACACTTATGGACTTTCAACGGACATCTCGCCTGCGTTTGTATACTTTAATTTATTTTCTTTCCATTGGTTTTTTACAGGTGATGCTTCAGATTTTATTGAAGGACATTGTTGAACTTATATATGTGCACCATTGTGTCAGATGCTAATGGACACGAATCAAATGTATTTCTTATGCTAACTTTGGAGAGAAATAGCTCAGAGCTCAATGGCGAGGGCCGATATGGAAACTTTCATACATGTCATTATGTGTTTGTCCAAGGCATCAGGTTGTTTCTTGCACTTTTGTTTGTGAGTTCATAGTGAATTACCAGTGTTAAATCAACCGCTTTAGTTGATTTAAACGGCACTTTCATAGTTGTGATCGTTTGAAAATACTAAAATGCTGAATTTAATATAGATAAAAATATAGGCCTACATTTAATGAACTTTTAAAAAAATATTTAACTTAGCAGTGTAGCTCAAATTACTTTGCTTTACCCCAATTCAAAATGTGACACACAGGAAGTGACGTCATTTGGACAAGGTGGCGGGAAGAGAAGTAAATAATTTTGTTCAATTATAGTATTTTTACACAAATTATAATGTTGACAGCATTTGTCAAGATCAAGCTGTTTGAAGCAACTGTATGTTTTTTTTTTTTTGTACCTTGAAATATCAGTTCCAAAATCATTCTAATGGTTCGCGGTACTTTCGTGGATCGATTTGCGGCAGCAACAAATGTTAGCAAAACAAGCATACTTCGCTGCGGTACGCAGGGAAGGAGACCAGATGCCGTTTTTGAATGGATGTCAATGGAGGAGATGCTTCGCTACTCTGAATAAACTGATTTTGTGGGGAAACAGCGAATTGTCAGGCTGTCCGCTAATCTTCAACATGTTTGGGATTAAACGTTCATTTTGGATTGATCTGTTTTTAGAGTTTACAACGGAAAAGTGCTGTTTTTATAAGAGAACTCCCAGACAAATTTGCGACAGGTAGGATTCAGTTTATGGTAATTCTCATTGGTTTTTATGGTATCCATAAACAGCGAATGACTTGCACGACTTAACGTCAAGACCGTGATGTGATTGGTTATCAAGGATCACGTGATCCAATTTGACCGTTAAGCAGTGTTGCTACTTTAATACGGTTGCCGCTGGTTGAAGCGACCCCAATAACATGATATTTATCCCCTGTAATGCAAATTTTATCAGGGAAGCCATACCAAAAAACGTGTATTTTACGTGTATTTTACCCCCTGGAATGCTATTGCGCTAGTTTTGAGTAAAATTTGGCAGGTTTTGTTGTGAAAACCTGGCAACCCTGCCGTTAGCCTACATTACTAGTTTATTGCTAGAAAATACTAAAGAAACACGCCAGGGTTTGTCTAAATATTGGTAAGAGTATTTCAAATACTGATTATAAACCTCTTATTCCATGAATAGAAAACAAAACAACTAATATAATCTAGTTTTTCCTACTGAGGTGTAAAAAAAAGGTGTTAAAGTTCATAGCCTTTTCTGTACCATTTTTGTGGAAAGTGCCATATTACAATGACCTAGAAAGTGGTTGGTTTAACACTGGTCAATCACATGTGAGTTTGGTTCTGTTTTTGAGCGCTTTTGTGACCGATATAAGAACAAACACATGGAATCTGATCCTGGATCAGTGAATTCAATATGCATACAGGCCCAAATCTCATTCTTACATCTCCAGAGTCCAGAGAAAGAGAGATTTACTATAGATATCATTGATGGCTATTATTTTTCAGAGCTGACATATTTTAAAGTAATATAGATATACAGCGTTACACTCTGTAGATTGTAGGATTGTTGTGGGAAATATTTCTTTTACAATCAAAATAAAGTTTTATTTAACAAGAACATGGCAAGCAACGGATGTGCTGTTTGTTGTTTGATAGTGCTTTTATATTGTTCAGGTTATAGGAGAAATCATTATATGGATTATAGACTCATATTTTAGTCTGAAGCAATGGTTTGAAGTTAAAATGTCTTGGATGATGGATTTGTTTCTTACAAACATGCAGCTTTTCTCTTCACAAGACATTAACTGATGGACTGGAGCGGTGTGGGTAACTTGTGGATGACTGTGATGTTTTTATCAGCTGTTTGGACTCTCATTCTGACGGCACCCATTCACATCCATTGGAGAGCAAGTGATGCAATGCTACATTTCTCCAAATCTGATGAAGAATCAAACTCATCTACATCTTGGATGTCCTAAGGGTGAGTAAATTGTCAGGTAACTTCCATTTTTCGGGGTGAACTTTTGCCTGTTAAAAGACAGAAATCCAGGCGTGGCCTTTTTATTTGTGTGCATTTTGTGTGATGGAGCAGAAATTGTAAACAGTAAAGAAAGTGGAAAAGCGTCTTTATTTTAAAATGATGCTAATTGCTAATTAATTCAATTTCTTACAGCACATATTAAATGTACAACCTTTATTCTTAATGCATGAAATCAGCAAAACAAAATTGTGAAGCTTCTTAATATCTTGAACTTCTTCATGCTAAAAGGGTGTTTTTGGACTTCAAAAATGGCTTCTGTAGAGCATAATTACCTGCTTCAGTTTCTTACACACACACAACAGGTGATTTTATCTGGAGAGATGAAGAAAGAAAACATGAATGCAGGATCTAAAGTATGTTCGCACATGCAGCACTTGCCAACACAGTGTGAAATATACAGTATGCTAAGGCTTTTTGAGTGGTTTCTAGTGCATTACAGTGTGGTTTCTTATTGTCTGAAGTGAAAAGACTGAACTGTTGAATCATCAGGATCATTAGATCTTGACATACATATGAATCTGCTGCTGTTTTTAAATGTCGTCCTTGTCTTTGGCCCCGTGTTTGAGGATGCGAGTGAACTCCACATAGTTAAAGTTTCCTTTCTTGTCAATTGGCGCCTCGCGAAACAGCTCGTCCACTTCTTCATCAGTGAAACGATCACCCATGGTGGTCAGCAGCTCGCGGAGATGGTCCTCATGGATGAACCCTGTTACAGGCGTCACACAAAGATCTCAACCTCTGAGTCATTATAAAGAAAATCAGGTGCCATTTGTGTCTTTCAAAAATGGATACAAATTTCGAACAATGAACAGTTGATGACAGTTTTTACTATAATAATATAAACGATTTTCTAAACAGATCAACAAAAATCCAATAAATGTATATTAGTGACCATGGACCAGAAAACCAGTCAAAAGGGTCAGATCTTGGGAAGCTGAATAAATAAGCTTTCCATTGATGTATGGTTTGTTAGGATAGGACAATATTTGGCTGAGATACAACTATGTGAAAATCTGGAATCTGAGGGTGCAAAAAATCTAAATATTGAGAAAATCACCTTTAAAGTTGTCCAAATGAAGTTCTTAGCAATGCATATTACTAATCAAAAATTAAGTTTTAATATATTTACAGTAGGAAATTTACAAAATATCTTCATGGAACATGATCTTTACTTAATATCCTTTTTTGGCATAAAAGAAATTCGATAATTTTGACCCATACAATGTATTGTTGGCTATTGCTACAAATATACCCCAGCGACTTAAGACGTTTTGTGCTCCAGGGTCATATTTTATTTTGAATGCTTTTTCCCCCTTATATCATGAGGATGCTTTTTTTTTGCCTGTCCTTTAAGGTCAGTGTTATTTTCATATCATTGAAATACTATTATAATTTTTATTAATATTGTGTAATATTTTTTACTTTAATTTTAGTCAAGTGTTCAGTAATTTTATTGTTTTTGTCATTTTTTTTTTAAACGTTTGTATAGTGTTTATTTTGTTTTATTTTTCATTAAAGTTTGAGTTATTTTAGTACATCAAATTAAACTAAAAGAACATGAGAAATGTTTTATAGCTATAATTTTAATAGTTCATTTTAATGTAATGAATTATTTCAGAAATCTATATTTTTTAATCGGTTTATCTAACATTTGTTATGTTTGTCAAGGGAAAATCTTAAACATCAACAGTTCTCATGATTTTGTACAGTAAGTTTGCTCTTTCTGATTTCACTTATATGTAATGCATTCGTACAAAAATAAATGTACTGCAGAAATACAAATGTTCATATACTTTTTTTTTCTCTATGTACTATTGACTCTTCTCAACAAATATCAGATTTTTTATAAAACCTTCATTTCCATGGTTGACTGTCATGGTGAAAAAACAACTAAACATTTTGACCAGTGTGGCTCACACGATGACAAAAATACTTTATATTTTGGTGGCCTTGGCCAAATTACTGACACGATAACTAGGTTTTGAAGCATGAATGAAATGTTTTGGGTGAGTAACTACATTTTGCAGACATACAATAAAGTTCTGAAGTTCCAGCAAACAGCTGTGACATTTGCACTCACAGTTTAGAGAATGTTAAGATTGTTTCGAAAAATGTGCCAAAGCAATTGAGAAAAACTGTAAAATGTTTAGATAGATAGATTAAGATTTGGATTCACACCTCTAGATAGACAGACAGACAAACAGACAGAGACAGACAGATAGATAGATGGACGGACGGACGGACGGACAGACAGATAGATAGATAGATAGATAGATAGATAGATAATAGACAGACAGATAGACAGATAGACAGATAGACAGACAGACAGATAGATAGATCGATCGATAGATAGACAGATAGATAGATAGACAGATAGACGGACAGACAGATAGACAGATAGATAGATAGATAGATAGACAGATAGACGGACAGACAGACAGATAGATAGACAGATAGATGGACAGACAGATAGATAGATAGATAGACAGACAGACAGACAGACAGACAGACAGACAGATAGATAGATAGATAGACAGAAGGACAGACAGGTGGAGGGGTGGAGGGATGGAGGGATAGATAGATAGGTAGATGCCCGTCCAACAGACGGACAGATGGATGGATGGACAGACAGACATACAGATAGATAGACGGACAGACAGACAGACAGATAGATAGACAGATAGACGGACAGACAGACATACAGATAGATAGACGGACAGACAGACAGACAGATAGATAGACAGATAGACGGACAGACAGACAGACAGATAGATAGACAGATAGATGGACAGACAGATAGATAGATAGACAGACAGACAGACAGACAGACAGACAGACAGATAGATAGATAGATAGATAGATAGATAGATAGATTACCCAGAGAGGCCAGCATGTCGTGTAGATCCTCTTTATCGATGAATCCGTCTCTGTTCTGATCGATCATGTTGAAGGCCTCTTTGAACTCCTGGATCTGTGATTGGTCGAACATGGCGAAGACGTTGGACGTGGCCCTCTGCGGCCGCTTCTTTGTGGTCTTTCCTTTGGCACGCTTGGCTGCAGACATTCTGACCGCAGGGTTTGCTTCTGCAGAAGAAAGAGATAAGAGATTAAATTCATTAGAGTCCACTTATCTCAGTCTGGAAGACAACGCACAATACCATGGAGCGATGCCATCGGCACAAGTATGACAGATAAAGTGTGTTTTCAATGTACAAAATTACACAAAAAAACACTCTGTATATGCATTCAGTCTTATATCATAATAGTTAGAGGCACATTTGATGCTGTCAAAATGAAATTGACATGAATTTTCAAGCAGAAGCATCCTGCGGTGTGACATTCATTGAAAACTTTTTTTTTTTGTAATTCTTCTAAAAGTACAGAATTAAAGGGACTACTAGGAATATTTATACTGAAAATAATTCATGTCAAATTACATGTCCAATTAAATTACGAAATCAAGGTAGTAAAAGCAAATATATGTATATAAGCCTACATACAATATACAATACAAAAGTTTTTGTGAGGTATTAATAATTTAAATGAAATATGTCATATGAAACCTGCTTAAAAAAAAAAATAAAAAAAATATTTATTTATTTTAAATAAGTAATATATATATATATACCTATTTTTTAGAACATACAATGTTTGTACTGAAAAAATGCACACACACACAAAAGACTGAAAATGGTGAAATGTTACATAACCTAAAATATACACATTCACTTATACATATAGGAACCCTAAACCTTGCTGTTGAATGATAGACTTTACATATTTCAAATGTAAAATACCATAAAGAAACTGTTCTGAAACTATCATACATTTACACTGCACTGAGACATTTAGAAAATCAACCTGTTCAGAAGTTAAAACTGAAACTATATTATATATCCGTTAACCATTAACAAAGCCAACAACGATTAGGAGTTCTTAAAGTAGCTGTACCTTGTTTTTGAGTTGAAAAGGGTTGAAGACGGTCTGTTCCTGCGCTGGGCTGAAGGGAAGTTTGTTTGGTTTTTCAGGCGTTTCTCCACACCTCCCTGTTCCTGAGCCGGCCAATAAGGTCAGCGTCCCGCAGCCGGGCGCGTCTGGAGCCTTTAGCCATACAAGGCAAAGGAATCTGAGAGCGGCAGACCTCACATATCCTGAGAAACAGCAGAGCGTTTTCACAATGGCCAGAAGGAGGCCTTATTTAGCAAACCAATGACTGAGTATGCAGCACAAAAGAAACATTTCCTTTGGCAGGCAGTGCAGCTGAAGGCTTTCTACAGGTTACGAGACTGTCAGTTCAGGCCGGCTGAGGGTTTTGCATTATAGGAAAAACGATGCAAATTTATGAGCTGCTGGTTTGGTAACTTGCGATACATCCTAGTTATCGCCGTTCGTCTTCTTCTCAAATATTGATATGCATGAATGAATTTATCATATCATTCCCATAGAAAAATCCAGAGCTATGGAAATGTCTCTGCTGCAAGCAGTGTTTGTTTAAATGGTAAAAAAATAAAATGTGTAAATAAGTAGAATTGCACAAATTAAACAATAGTGTGATGTGTATTGGTAGCAAATTAGAAAAGGTCACAATATTTTCCATGTTTGTGCATAAGCATAATGTGTATTTATATTTACTATATATTTTTGTGTATAAAGACACAATTTCAATAATAAATATTAATATTTTTAATTATTAAATTAAATATTTTTATACTAATTTGAATATTATTTGGAAAATATTTAAATTCTTTTAATATTTTATGATGTTGAGATTCTTTTAAGGTTAAGTTTATTTTTCTATTTAGTAATGAATTATTAGAAGTGTTTATTTATTTTTTTCAAATGTTTATTGTATACTTATTTTAATCTGATTAAGTGTTTAATTTTAATTATTATTTTAATTATTAATTATTTTTATATTTTAAAATGTGTTATGTAAAATGTTTTATATATTAAAAATATATTTATATATATCAAAATTGTATTATATACAGTACTTATTTTATTTTTAATTTATTTTAATGCAATTTATTATAATCCAGATTTATTTATTTTAATTTTATTATTTATTTTAAAATGTTTTAAATTTGCACTGTAAGATTTGTGAATATCTGAAGATATTATTTGTTTATTTGAATATAATTTTATTGTATGCATAATTACTTTAAGCATTTTTATTGTTTATGTATTTTAATCTATTAGTTTTTGTTTACACATCATTTCTTGTACAGTAGACAATTTCTGTCTAGAAGACCAATTTAAGTTTATACACCATTCATATCAATTAATGTGTCAAAATTCATACAACAAATATCGTACATAAAACCAAAGGTTTTAGACGTTTTAATTCCATAAGTTAATTAATACACAGTTGCTGACCTGTTAAGGAACACAGATTGCAGTACTTTTTAGAATATAATTGTTCTCTAATATTCCCATGTTTAGTGGTTCGTTATATATATATATATATATATATATATATATATATATATACTGATATGTTATGCATTATAAAATTGAGATTTGAAAAGGGAGAAAAAAAAAGTTCGGCAAAAGGCGGGATCGAACCCGGATCGATCGTGTCAAAAAAAAAAGCCAAGAGCACACATTTATCCATTTGAGCCACTGGAACTGGTGTTTTACAAACACTTTTAACTAAATGTAAATAGACACTCCGTATTTTTAATACCAGAGTAAGGGCAATTCATACAATACATTTAAACTGAGCTACTTTAATACCATCTCCGAACTTTCTACCACGCCTCTGCTGTTCTTCGGCTGGTACAAGCGCAACAAACCCCGCCCCCAAGCGGCTTCAGACCGTGATTGGTTCAGACCGTCGAGCGGCAAAAGTTACTGGCTTATTACCGTTTCCTCCAGCAGAGGGCGATTCGCGGATCTCCGCATTCAAGATATGTGTTATATAAACTACACAATATATACACATTTTTAAAAATCATTTTATTAATTCATACCTGACATATAAATAAAAATATGCGCCATTGTCTACTACAAAATTGTTATTAAAAGCCTCATCTGATTAATTCACTGTTAGGAAAAGTAACATGTATCACGTGACAACGCTTTCCTCCCAGAAGTGATTTGGATATTTTTTTGCACCTGCAGTAATTATACTGAGAACTTTAATATTATCAAACTGAAAGAACACCGAATGAAAAGTAGATATATAATAATAATTATTTATACCGATCGTGCCTGGCCAATCACAAACAAGACTTGCGCCGCGAACCCCGCCCATTCTGTCACTCCGCCGATGCTAATCGCTCTTCTAGCGTTTATTGTTTTTCTAAGGGTTGGATGTTTCGTGGGAATCTCCGGCAGACACAGACACTTCCTGAAACACAGCGGTCACATCAAGTCTGCTCTGTCCCAGAGCTTTAATGGAAACACAGTTTGAACTGCGTTTGAATGGGAAATGGTCCCATCTGGGCTAAATGCAGCAGATGTGCAATAACGCCAGGCCGGTAATGACCTAATCTCAGTCTCGTGATACCTGCGCAGGTGGACTGACCTCTGGTGACCCTCACACCTGTCCGTCAAGATCGTCAAATCTGCACCTAAAGTCATGGACAATTCAAATGACTTCAAGAAGGCGGAGCCCAGAGTCAACGAGAAGAAATGCTGTGAGTTATTGTTATTATTTATGATAATTTTAATACTTTTGAGATTCAGTGCATTGATTAAATGATTTGTGGGGATTCAAACTAGTAAGCTTTTAGTTACCAGCTTAGATCTAGGCTGGCTACTGCACTCACATGTAGCTAAATGTGAATAGTGAAGTATTCTTTTCCATCATTTGGGGGGATGTAGCCTATTGGTTAAAGATATGAGCTACTTGATATGAGCTATATGATAACTGAAAGGTTGTAGGTTCAAAACCTGATTATTTAACATCAGGGAACTCTGAAGTGTTTATGATGACTACAGTTATTGAGCTGCAAGTCAAGGGTTTTCTGTCTTTTAGATGGCAAAGATCTCCATATATGATCATCCTCATGCGAGAGACCCATTTATACTCATTTAAATATTAATATTTTAACTTATACTAATAATAGATTCTATTGTTTTGTTCCTACTCACTACAGTTTTTATTTGTTTACATTTTTATTATGCACTTATTTAATCGACTCTTTTTTTTGTTTTTACAATTTTTTAAATGTATTTATTTTAATCAAATTTATGTTTTATTTATTTGTTTGTTTTAATCTAATTAATTTTATTATTTTTTATTTAATTTATTTTGATCTTTTTTTTTAAATACATTTTATGCATTTTTTAAAACATTTAAACATTTATACATTATACATATATACATTTTTGGCGGTCAGATGTAAGATCTTATAATATATGCAACATCATACATGCTTATTAAATGACTCATTTAGAGTGTATTGATGTGGTTGTGAAGATGTGTTTCTGTAAAACATCACTTATATCATTGTGTAGTAAGAAGTAGGCTTGCCGCGATAGACGGTGCTGACGGTGATACCAGTGTTAAGCTGCAACACCGGTTATGTCACTTGCCCACCGCGTCACCGACCCCCACCGTCGTTTTGATTTTTTATAGTAATAAAAAATAATTTAGTTCAGTAAAAGAACAGACACTACAATTAAAAACTGAATGCAGCTACTCAATGCAGCGTGCCGAACATCGCATCACAGATCAGATTTCATTTATCACGTGAGGAGAGTGAGTCGAGACAGACAAGATGATCGCGGATGATTTAGTTTCGAAACATGATGCAAAAGCGCCTGTTTGGCAATATTTTGGATTTTGAAAAGCCTGTTGACTTTTGCTAAAGTGAAAGTAAAATAGGGACACCGCTTTTACAAGCTATTTAAAAGCAAAGGAAAAGAGGGAACGCCCCGCCCCCGCGGTGATACCGGTATTACCGGTGTTGTCACACGTCGATTAACCGGTGGGAAAATTTCCTCACCGTCACAACCCTTGTAAGAAGCCCCTTGTTTTAGTTGGCAGTGCTTGTGATGGCCGTCTGGGAACTTTGCACTTCAAGACATGCTGTAGTTTTTCAAAATGAGTCTGACATTCAGACCCAGAGCTGAGTTTTGAGCTTTAACATGTTCGTTCAAGCTGAAAGAGAAATCTAAATCAGATTGGAATTTAAGCTTTGGGTCCAGAAGGGGTTTTTGTGGAATGTAAAGCCCAGTTAAGAGGTGTGTCGGATCCTGTTTTTCTTCTTCAGCACAGAGTAATATATTGATGAACAGGCAAGAACATCATAGAGACTTGGTGTACGGCCCTTGCAATCATCCTGATCACCTTAGAAATAAAATTGAATTAATGCTATATAGAAATATATATTAAAAAGGTACATAAACAGAAACTATAAAAATAAAAGCTAATTCAAAATATTTATAAATGCTATAATAGTATATAAATAATATTTGCTGAAGTATGCATGATATGTTACTCAAAATATTAATGTATGTAAAAATTATAAAAAATAAAATAACTTTATTTTAAATGTAATATAATATATAAATATTAGATGAAATGAAACTTACATTAAAATAAAATAAAAAATGGTGCCTTGGCAACTAACCAAAATATATAGGTTTAAGCTGATGTACTAAAATTATTAAAACTAAAACTGAAATAAAATCAAGTAAGCTATATAGAAATATTACCAAAAAATCTACAAAGTGCAAAAGCATATAACAAAGTTACTAAAACTTAAAATTGACAATATAAAAATGAAAGCAAATTCAAAATATTAATAAATACCATAATAATGTAGAAATAATATTATATGTATGCATGGTGGGTATATGGGTTTGCTGTTGAGCTGCTGTTTCGTTCTCAGAAACATGTGGCAGTTATTAACTACAGGAAGCCTCAGGCTACGCTCTTGCATAATTGATAAGGAAATTATGTCAATAACTTCAGCAGCATGAAAGCTTCATGCCCTCAGTGTAATCCTCATGAACGTCACTTATTTCCAGGCATGAGAAACATCTGAACTGTGTGCAACTGTTATGAGTATAAATATGATGACCTGTTAACAGAATGTTCGTCTGATATCATCATGCTGGTTTGTCCTGCACTGAGAAGGAAATTGTTAAAAGTAAATGATGTGTGTTTGTTTGTTTTCATAGCATGGGCGTCATACATGACTAACTCCCCTACTGTCATCGTATTGATCGGCCTTCCCGCCAGAGGAAAGACATACATATCCAAGAAGCTGACGCGATACCTCAACTGGATCGGGGTTCCCACGAAAGGTGAGAGATAAATGAGCTCATTCAACATACTTCTGTATTTATTATAATTACTTATGTAATTATTCCTGGGGATGAAACACCAAAATTATTTCTTAAATGAAACCAGTAAGAATTAATAATCTGAATTCATTCAAATAATTTTTTAAAAAGTTAAATCATTTTTAACTCAGTATAACTATTACATGGTTTTCAGGAAGCTTGTTTCCACCACAAGATTAAAAAAAAATTAAAAAGGTATTTGCGACTTTTTAATTGAACAATTCTGACTTTTTTTCCCCTCATTCTGAATTGTGACATGCAATTCTGAGAAGAAGAGAAATGTGTAAAATGTTTATTTCATGGTGTAAATAGGTTTGCAACATGCAAACTAGCATTTACGAGTTTATAACTTGCGATTCTGAGAAAAAAGACAATCAAAATTGAAAGAAAAAAGTAAGAATTGTGAGATATAAACTTTAAATTGTGAGAAAGTCATAATTTTGAGATATAAACTCCCAATTGTAAGAAAAAGTAAGAATTGTGAGGTATAAACTTGCATTTGCGAGAAAAAGTAAGAATTGCGAGATGTAAACTTGCATTTGCGAGAAAAAGTAAGAATTGTGAGATATAAACTTGCATTTGTGAGAAAAAGTAAGAATTGTGAGATATAAACTTGCATTTGCGGGAAAAGTCTGAATTGCGAGATATAAACTTGCATTTGTGGGAAAAAGTAAGAATTGTGAGATATAAACTTGCATTTGCGAGAAAAAGTAAGAATTGCGAGATATGAACTTGCATTTGCGAGAAAAAGTCAGAATTGCGAGATTATATCTCCCAACTCTGACTTTATTTCTCACAATTGCGAGTTTATATCTCGCTACTTTGACTTTATAACTCGCAAATGTGAGTTTATATCATGCAATTCTGAGGAAAAAGTCAGAATAGCGAGTTTATATCTCACAATTCTGACTTTATAACTCAAAATTGAGAGTTTATATCTCACAATTCTGAATTGAGAATTGTGAGAATTTCTGAGAATTCTAAATTGCGAAATGTAAACTTGCAATTGCGAGTAAAAAAGTCAGCATTGCGAGAGAAAAAAAGAGAGAATTGCGAGAGAAAAAAAGTCAGAATTGAGAGTAAAAAAAAAAGTCAGAATAAACTTGCATTTGCGAGAAAAAGTCAGAATTGCGAGATATGAACTTGCATTTGCGAGAAAAAGGTCAGAATTGCGAGATATGAACTTGCATTTGCGAGAAAAAGTCAGAATTGCGAGAAGAAGTAAGAATTGCGAGATATGAACTTGCATTTGTGGGAAAAAGTAAGAATTGCGAGATATGAACTTGCATTTGCGAGAAAAAGTAAGAATTGCGAGATATGAACTTGCATTTCTGAGAAAAAGTAAGAATTGCGAGATATAAACTTGCATCTGCGAGAAAAAGTAAGAATTGTGAGATATAAACTTGCATTTGCGGGAAAAAGTCTGAATTGCGAGATATAAACTTGCATTTGCGAGAAAAAGTAAGAATTGCGAGATATAAACTTGCATCTGCGAGAAAAAGTAAGAATTGCGAGATATAAACTTGCATTTGCGAGAAAAAGTCAGAATTGCGAGATATAAACTTGCATCTGCGAGAAAAAGTCAGAATTGCGAGATATAAACTTGCATTTGCGAGAAAAAGTCAGAATTGCGAGATATAAACTTGCATTTGCGAGAAAAAGTAAGAATTGCGAGATATGAACTTGCATCTGCGAGAAAAAGTAAGAATTGTGAGATATAATCTTGCATTTGCGAGAAAAAGTAAGAATTGTGAAATATAAACTTGCATTTGCGAGAAAAAGTAAGAATTGTGAGATATAAACTTGCATTTGCGGGAAAAAGTTGAATTGCGAGATATAAACTTGCATTTGTGGGAAAAAGTAAGAATTGTGAGATATAAACTTGCATTTGCGAGAAAAAGTAAGAATTGCGAGATATGAACTTGCATTTGTGAAAAAAAGTCAGAATTGCGAGATATAAACTTGCATCTGCGAGAAAAAGTAAGAATTGTGAGATATAAACTTGCATTTGCGGGAAAAGTCTGAATTGCGAGATATAAACTTGCATTTGTGGGAAAAAGTAAGAATTGTGAGATATAAACTTGCATTTGCGGGAAAAAGTCTGAATTGCGAGATATAAACTTGCATTTGCGAGAAAAAGTTAGAATTGTGCATTGGCACTGGATCTATAAAACATTATACTATTATGTTTGACCCTGAAGTTTCCAAAAAGACTGTTGCTTTCCCTGTATGTTGGTAACGGTTGTGTGTTTCTGTCAGTTTTTAACCTGGGCGTTTATAGACGTGAGGCGGTACAGTCGTACAAGTCTTACGACTTCTTCCGTCACGACAATAAAGAGGCCATGAAAATCAGGAAGTGAGTATCCACACCGTTACACCTGCATTACACAAATACCTCTGACAACAAGAGGATGTTTCTACAGCAGTCTGTCAGTCATTTCAGGAAATGATCAGGAGGAAGTTTTGAGTTGCACTGTGACATAATGTCATATTCACAACAATCTATGTTTCTAATAAGCAAGAATAAACACATTTTATTGATTCCGATTTGATGTACATTGTTTCCTCAAACCGGTGCTGATAAATCGAGTCGGTGTCAGTCGGCATCATCTGCTGGTGCTGTTGAGTTGAATGTGATTGTGGCAGTTCTGGTTCTGGTCTGATGATTGGCCGTCTCTTGTTTCTCACAGACAGTGTGCCATCGTGGCTCTACAGGATGTGAAATCTTATCTGAATGAGGAGGGAGGGCAGATCGCTGTAAGTTCTGCTCTTTGGACTTCACACATACTGGGCCTCATTTACGAAACGAACGTACGACAGAAAATTGGGCGTACGGTCGTTTCAGCGCAAAACTTGGAATTTATCAATATGGACGTGAGCGGTGGCTACGATCAAATCTCACGTCTGGTCTCAGCTCGTGTACGCAAGTTTTTGAGTTAGGCTACCTGAACTTGCACACAGCATAGTAAATATGGTGGAGAATTGTAGATTGACAGCATTTTGTTCATTTGTATATTCCTGACCGTCAAACAAAGCTCATTAGTCGGTCGTTAACCAGTAAGATTAGAATGTCTTTTTTTGTTGTTGTTTTGTACAGGGCTTTAGCTTTATATGCGCGAATAGCAGCGTAAACAAGACCGTGAGGATTCAATCGTCGCATCATTGCACCTGCAGCGCTTCTGTGAAAGGAGAAAAACAGAAATTAAGTCTATAAAAGGAATAAAATCAATAGGATCACACAAAATATATAATAGGCTATAATATAATTAAAAGATTAACAAAAGAAAAAAAACACTGCGACAAGTATAGGCTACGCTCGTTTTTGTGACACTCTTAATGCATTTAATTTCTTTTCTTTATATCTTTATTTGATTTAATCCATCTGATCGCACAGGCGCCTCACGCACACACAACAACATTAGTTCTAGCGTTGCCTGCCATTTCAGCCATTCATCATCAAACTAAAATGCAGTCAACCAAACATAAAAGTAACACTGTTTATTTTAAAAGGTCCGCTGTAAAATCAGCGTGCAGCGCCCAAACAAACATTTTTGCACATGTGAAGGATTTTACACGGATATTAGAACATGA